ATTCGGTTAAGGTCATTTGAATATCCGCATTTTCAATCACTTCGACGTTTCCCAGTTTGGAAAATCCTTTACTCCATTCGTTCCTTCTACCCACGACGATTCAATGTTTTCCCTTCGGGACATCAAATCTAATCACATTTCCACTCCAGTGCGCTCTGCTGGAAGCATTATGAAATTAGGTATTTATCTATAAGTAGAGGTAAAGAAAAATGATCACAACGCAATAAGAAAATTGAATTTAAATATGAACAAAAATATTTATCGATTTTTTCCCAAATTTATGAAATAATTTGAGAAAGAAAATTCGAATTAGATTTCTTTACGTAAATATTTATAATAATATTGGAAATGAAAAAAAAATCTTCAATGTAACAAAATGAACGAGATAATTTGATAAAACGTTGTTTCTAGGTACAGTGAAAATTTTCATTTAATTATATATTTTTGATATAATTTAAAAATGGAATTATGAAAATAAGTTAAGTTTCAATAAGAATTTGATTTCTCTACGAAAAGATTGCAAAATATAATATTGAAAGTAAACGAAAAAACTTGAATGTTGCTATGGTAACATAATAAACGAGAAAATTTTATAAAATATTATATAATATGGAGAAATAAAAATTTCACTGAAAAATTTTCATTTAAATATATTTTCTTCGATATAATTTAAAATTGGAATTATGAAAATAAAGAAAAAAAGAAAACTTGAATGTTGCTATGGTAACATAATAAACGACAAAATTTGATAAAATATTTTATAATATGGACAAAAAAAAATTACAATGAAAAAATTTCATTTAATTATATTTCCTTCGATATAATTTAAAATTGGAATTATGAAAATAAAGAAAAAAAGAAAACTTGAATGTTGCTATGGTAACATAATAAACGAGAAAATTTGATAAAGTATTATATAATATGGAGAAAAAAAAAATTACACAAACATTTTCATTTAATTATATTTTCTTTGATATAATTTAAAATTGGAACTACGAAAATAAAGAAAACTTGAATGTTGCTATGGTAACATAATAAACGAGAAGATTTGATAAAATATTATATAATATGGACAAAAAAAAATACACTGTAAAATTTTCATTTAAATATATTTTCTTCGATATAATTTAAAATTGGAATTAAGAAAATAAAGAAAAAAAGAAAACTTGAATGTTGCTATGGTAACATAATAAACGAGAAAATTTGATAAAGTATTATATAATATGGAGAAAAAAAAATTACACTGAAACATTTTCATTTAATTATATTTTCTTTGATATAATTTAAAATTGGAATTATGAAAATAAACAAAAATAAAGAAAACTTGAATGTTGATATGGTAACACAATAAATGAGATAATTTGATATTGATGTGAACATTTTTTTGTTTTGTTATATTTTTGTTTCACTCGATGTACAAACAATTATGAAAAATGATGGTCGCACTGATGAGGTACTCGAATTAGAGTCGTTATCGATGCTGTGACGTTGATTGGATGGTCCTGCAATCGCCTATGTTACGAGCACGTAATCACCCATAATGCAATCTAATACCTGCATCATGTAATATATAGTGAACACATTTCCACGCAACATATATACACACACACATACACTGATTTTCACTAATATTGTTTAGATTATCTGTACTAGCAGATGCCCAATTTAACATTATTGTTATTAGTTATTGGAAAACCGTTTGGACAACATTCTGTTTTCGCTCGTCAAACGTATCTATTTTCTATATATATATATATAACAAAGCTTTGCGCAGCGAAATCGTAATTAGCATTATTAATAGTTCTGTGGAAAAGCGGCTCAATTCCAGGAATTTCCCTGTTTATTATTGCTTTCCCAATTCACGATTGTTCTGATTTTGATAGATATTAATTAATTAATCAATAATAAAAGCTAATTAAAGAAGGATAAATTACATTTTTTTTTTAATTAAAAACACCTTTCTTAATAATCATTACATTGTTTTATCTATTATATTTATGAAATACATCTTTTTTCTTATAAATCATTGTACTTTTCATAATTAAACTTTTATTTATTCAATATGTTTTGTGGTAAAATGAAACTGAAATTGTAAAATGTATTTTTAGATTAATATGTTGGCCTATTATTTCATTACTGTATAATTTGATTTTGCTGCGTTCATAATTAAAATATTCTCGTCCTGGAAACATCAATATGATTTGCATAGATAAAGCTTCCTTCTAGTTATTACATTATTTATTTTTAGATTAACATTTTGTACGTTTTCATTTTATTTCATTATAAATTTAATTTGTTTCTTGCTTAGTTTAAAATATTTATACTTTGTTTATGCTTTTTGCTTCCAGTTATTCATTTAACATAAAATGTTGTTTGTAAAATATTATATAATATGAATTAAGAAAAAATCGTAGAAATGTACAGCATACATTTTCATTTAATTATATTTTAAATTGGAATTATACTGAGTTTTTTCAGTGCAACAAAAATATCAAGTAGGTGTATATGTAAAACTATATAAATCTTGTACTGTCAGCATTCGCTTAACGTACATTTTACTAATCTTCGTTGCATAATACGAAATATGTTAAAAAAATATAATAATTATCTGACTGAAATACAATTACAATATGTAATTGATTTCGGTATGTATGTATGTTGATAAATTGTACGTTTGTATGAATAATGAGTACGTTTGTGCGAAGACAATCAAATAGATATATAATTTGTTGTAGAACTTATACAGTTAACATTCTCTTAACGTACATAATTAGTTACTAACTTTATCGAAAAAAAAAAATTGTTTGACTAAAATCAAATTGAAATTTGTATTTGTAAATGATAGCCGTTGGTAAAGTGTACTTTCGTATGAATAACGAGTAGGTTTGTACGAAGACAATCAAATATATATGTGAATTATTGTAGAAAATATACAGTTAGCATTCTCTTAACGTGCATTCGACAATACGTACATAATTATTTAATAACTTTATCTAAAAAAACTTAATTGTTTGACTAAAATCAAATTGAATTTTGTATATGTAAACAATGGACGTTCGTAAAGTGTACTTTCCTATGAATAGCGAGTACGTTCGTGCGAACACAATCAAATGTATATGTAAATTGTTGTAGAACATATACAGTTAGCATTCTCTTAACGTGAATTCGATAATACGTACATAATTATTTACTATCTTTATCGAAAAAAAACATAATTGTTTGACTAAAATCAAATTGAAATTTGTATTTGTGAATGATGGCCGTTGGTAAAGACAATCAAATATATATGTAAATTGTTGTATAAAATATAGTCAGCATTCTCTTAACTTGCATTCGATAATACGTACTTAATTTTTTATGGCCGTTGGTAAAGTGTACGTTCGTATGAATAACGAGTACGTTCGTGCGAACACAATCAAATATATATGTAAATTGTTATGAAACATATACAGTGAGCATTATGTTAACGTGCATTTGATAACACGTACATAATTATTTACTATCTTTATGTATAAAAACTTAATTGTTTGACTAAAATCAAATTGAAATTTGTATTTGTAAACAATGGCCCTTGGTAAAGTGTACTTTTGTATGAATAACAAGTACGTTCGTGCGAACACAATCAAATGTATATTTGAATTGTTGTAGAACATATACAGTTAGCATTCTCTTAACGTGCATTCGATAATACGTACATAATTATTTACTAACTTTATCGAAAAAAAAACATAATTGTTTGACTAAAATCAAATTGAAATTTGTATTTGTGAATGTTGGCCGTTGGTAAAGACAATCAAATATATATGTAAATTGTTGTATAAAATATAGTCAGCATTCTCTTAACGTGCATTCGGTAATACGTACTTAATTATTTATGGCCGTTGGTAAAGTGTACGTTCGTATGAATAACGAGTAGGTTTGTACGAAGACAATCAAATATATATGTAAATTGTTAATAACACGTACATAATTATTTACTATCTTTATGTATAAAAACTTAATTGTTTGACTAAAATCAAATTGAAATTTGTATTTGTAAATGGTGGTCGTTGGTAAAGTGTACGTTCGTATGAACAACGAGTACGTTCATGCGAACACAATCAAATTTATATGTGAATTGTTGTAGAACATATAGAGTTAGGATTCTCTTAACGTGCATTCGATAATACGTACTTAATTATTTACTAAGTTTATCTAAAAAAAAACATAATTACTTGACTGGAATCAAATTGAAATTTGTATTTGTAAATGATGGTCATTGGTAAAGTGTACTTTCGTATGAACAACGAGTACGTTCGTATGAAGACAATCATTTGATTGTAATTATTTGTAATAATAACATATAAATAATATTGAGATATGATTATTATCAACTTTCCCAAGTGTACGTTAGTACGAACAAAAATATAAAAAATATATGAATTTATTTCCTCTACGATTAACGAGCTGACAACTGATATATTATAAATAATATAAAGAGTTTTTATTGGTCTATTTGCATCAATCATTGTTGAATTAAACACTGAACATCAAAAACGGAGAACGAAAACAACATCCTACATAAAAAACACAAAAACCGCACAGATTATAACAGACTGCTTGGAGCGATTATATAATATCTGGAACGCCTCAAAATATGCCAAAAAGACAGCTACCCAAATATTATTGTTTTTCCCATTTTTGGAGGATTAATACTTTCAGCTTGTATACTTTTTGAGTGCGTGCGTGTATAAAATATGCTCATGATTAATGCTCTCAGTTTAAACATTTTCGCTCATTCATAATGAAAGGAACACGTAATAATATTAATAATTGCTACCGGTTTGCCTTGAACGAACGGAAGAAAATCATGGAATAAAGTAAATAAATAAATAAAAAATAATGTAAAAACCATCACAAAAGATTTTCCGCAGATTCCATGCGCTGCTTTTGTGTTGATGTGGTCCACCTCCCCCGTTTCCTGTAGGAGTACGCACTTCGTGTACGCCTGGACCAAGTCTGCTCTCGCGCTTTATCATTCAGTTTTGCCACCACTTGGCGACTGGAAGCGTCGCGACGCCTTCTGAAAATTCGCGCCGCGCTTGGCAAATTGAGCGACGCGTGTGAAATGTTTCGTTTTCGTAAAGGACAATTCGAAAAATTGGTTTATATATAAACTACATTGAATCTACAATTTGTGTTGGAAAAGTACATCGATTATTTACTTGTAATTTACTAGTAAGTACAATAATATTATTATATTTATTAGTATTTACAAATGTCCATTATGTAACAATATTAAATAGATCAAATCATATAAGAAAATAAGAAAAAAATGCTATTTTGCAGTTATGTAAAGATTACTGATTTTAAATTGTAAATTTCATGATTTCATAATTATTATTGAAGTTTTTCATAAATGTATTATATATAAATCTTTGTTTTCATAATAAAGTTTATTAAATTTTTAATTTATTACAAAAATGTAATGAATATTTTATATAATCATTATATTTTTAGCATAAATTTTAATATTGATGTTTCATTCTTGAAATATAACGTAAAGAAACAATGTGTTGAAAACGCAAAAGGTAAAATAATTCATAATGGAATAATAAAACAGGAACAACAATTGCTGCGCTTTATAAGAAAATGTATACATTACAAAGAAAAACCTAATTTTTTATTTGAATTATTGGTTTATTTATACGTAGAACAAAAAATATTTTTTTTTTGAAATTGTCAAATATTAATATAAAAGCTTTTATCTAATTATCAACTTTTATAATAAACTTTTTTCTTGCAAGACTATTAGAAAAAATTCAAGAGTTCACAAAATTCGGGCAGAAAGTTAAAGCTGTATGCATATTTTCGGTCCGTTCGTTAAATATTATAATTTCTTAAGAGAAAAACTTTGTAGGAATTAATGAACTTTTAACTGGAAACAAAACTTACGCAGTGTTAAAAGGAATTATTAAGAACTATTTTAATTTATATTTTTAATCCTTTCCAGCCCAGTGATTCCAAATGGAATAATTAATTTTTAAATTCAATTTTGTCTTTCGACGATTAAAGAATTGCTTTTATATTATATTAGATAAAACTAGTAAATAAAACATTGAGTAGAAATAAATAATCAATATAAATTTCAAAAAATGTAAAGTATGAGAAAAGGTGACACGTATACAACAAATGGATTTATTTGATGTAGTACTTTTGGGAATGAAATGGTCCAGAAAAAGAGAGTATATTTCAACATCCCATAAATTTGGATACACTGAATGATGATGAATAATAATAACGTGTGGATCTGTGGAGGCGCCACAAAAAGGTATTTCTCGTTACTACATATTCCTTTTGACAACCTCACAATTCATAAATAAATGTACTTTTTCTATACTGAATAAATCAACAATAAAATAGAAATTATTTGTAAGTGTTTAAATTTAAACTACAAAAGCATGGAATCATGAAGATACAAGAAAGATGTCAGAAGGTCATCGCACAAAATGGTAACTATACAAGTAACTAAAGTTTATTATTAGAATACAAAAAAACAAGAGTTTTATTTCACACCAAAAAAAAACGAACTTTATTATAAATTATGCGTACAAATCATGACTACTAAATCATTGAATCATGAAGTTGCAAGAAAGATGTCAAAAGGTCATTGCACAAAATGGTAACTATATAATTAATTTAAAGTTCATTATTGGAATACAAAAAAAAAAAAGAGTTTTATTTCACACCAAAAAAAAAACGAACTTTGTTATAAATTTTGCGAACAAATCATGACTACTAAATCTTGAAATCATGAAGTTGCAAGAAAGATGTCAAAAGGTCATCGCACAAAATGGTAACTATACAAATAAATTAAAGTTCATTATTTGAATACAAAAAAAAAAGAGTTTTATTTCACACCAAAAAAAAACGAATTTTGTTATAAATTTTGCGTACAAATCATGACTACTAAATCTTGGAATCATAAAGTTGCAAGAAAGATGTCAAAAGGTCATCGCACAAAATGGTAACTATACACGTGATTAAAGTTCATTATTTGAATACAAAAAAACAAGAGTTTTATTTCACACCAAAAAAAAAACGAACTTTGTTATAAATTTTGCGTACAAATCATGACTACTAAATCTTGAAATCATGAAGTTGCAAGAAAGATGTCAAAAGGTCATCGCACAAAATGGTAACTATACAATTAAATTAAAGTTCATTATTTGAATACAAAAAGAGTTTTATTTCACACCAAAAAAATCCGAACTTTGTTATAAATTTTGCGTAGAAATCATGAAACGTTTCAAAATTATCTTAATCAAAGTTTTATAATGATATAGAATATTGTTTAAATTAGATAAAATCAAAATTGTAATTCATTTTTTTTGTTAATTGTAATAAAATAGTATTATTTAGGTTTTTCTGAAATTACATGAAATAATTTGTTAAATAAAACGCACGAAACAGAGATAAAAAAAATTGGATAAGTATTATACAAACAGATAATATCAAAATGCAATTTAGATTTGGCTTTGCCGCATTACGAAGGATTTCAGTAAATTGAATTTCCGTGATGTAAAATAAAAGGAGAAAAGAGTATAATTGCAGTCCATTTATTAAATGTTCAATTACTCTCCTCTGTTGTTAACTCTTTATTTTATTTCATCCTGCATTTTCTCCAACTCCATTAAACTTAAAAAGATTCAATTACCGAAACTCACTTCAAGTTCACTTTGCGAAATGTCGAGACGAATTCCATTTTATTATAAATACATTAACAAACGGAAGGACAATAAAGACATTTGTCTGAAGATAGAGAAAAAAAAATATTATATGTAAGAAGTTTTGAAAGATATTAAGATCTAATTAACAATTGTATTATTATGTAAATTATTTAATTAATTATGAATAATTTTTTTGTAAACAAAATAATTTTTCAATTTGACTACAACAATAAAGCTATGCAATCGCGAAACCTCACACATCTATCCGCTGGTAAAACTTCCATCCGACCATTCGCCAATACTTGTGATACTGTCTTCGGAAATTCTGAAACGGAATAGACAATCAACCCTGAGTACAAACAGAAGCAACTGTGACCAATTCAGAGGATACCTTGAGACAGTGTTAAGGATGGATATTAGGCTGAAGTCGGAGGAAGACTTGGAAAATGCCGTCGAAGATCTCACCCGATCCATACAAGCAGCTGCATGAACCTCTACACCTTCACCATCATCCAACCAAACCAGCTACAAAGATCCAGAAAACGTACGTAACTTCGTAAAAGAGAAACAAAGGCTGATGAAGATTTGACAAACCACCCACCATACGCCTGAATAGAGCCAGGAACTCAGGAACTTATTGGAGAGCCAGAGCAGCGAGGATCTGCACGAGAATCTTGGTGGTTTGTCTTCTACTGGAACTAACAAAAACTCACTATAGATGGCGACCAAGCATACGAAACAACCAAAACAGAGAGTGTCTTCTCTTCGACAACCAGATGGACGAGGAGTGATAAGGAGAAGGCGGAGGTGTTAGCCGACCATCTAACAAACGTGTTCCAACCTTTCCCGGCAGGACTTGCAGACTCATCCAATCCTGGAAAACCAACGGACGTGGCGTCTTCATATAGACCAATTAGCCTCCTGCTGGTCCTGTCTAAACTGCTCGAGAAGCTATTGCTGCAAAGATTGAAGCCCTGGCTGTTGGATAGTCATCTCATTCTGGACCACCAGTTCGGATTCCGTGAGCGACATAGCACTGTGGAACAGATGCATCGTGTGGTGGTTGTGATCTGCAAAGGTCTTGAGGAGAAGAGGTTCTGCTCTGCCGCTTTCCTCGACATCTTACAGGCGTTTCACCGAGTTTAGCATAGAAGATTGCTATATAAATTTAAAAGTGTCTCCCAGATTAAAAATACGTCATATTCAAATCATACTTCCAGGTCAAGCACAAGGACGAAGTGACCTCGCTACGCCCAATCCTCTCAGATGTCCTCTTCTGGACCCTTACTCTATTTGATATTCACGACTGATCTACCAACTTTTTTTCTATTGAAATATTTCATTCACTTACTAATAAATATGTGAAGCAATGGAGCAAATCTGGAGGGAATAACTGAAGAAATATGATTTTTCCCTTTATTTCTTTCCTCTATTAAATTTTGTATGAATCCTTGCGCCGTTTTTCAAGCCATATTTTATTTATGATTAAAGTAATTTCTATGTTTTGCTCCAAATCGTATTTCCACACTATAATTAGATTATAAAAAAAACCTTTCACAACAACATTGAATTCAATATATCCAATGTAAATAATGCATTTATGTATTTACAATTCAATCAACATTTTTTATACAGGGATTCCCATCTTTACGAATTAATTCATTTTTTTAATGGAAATTTTGCAAGAAGAAAATGTTTATTACATCTTTTATTTACAATTTTTGCACATACATATTTAAAACTTGAAATATTTCATTGCACAATGATTCAGTTTAATACAAGAATTTCATTCCTTTATTTTTTATACTTTTTACAACTCTAAGAAAATGTAATGTGAATTCTTAAATTTGTAATTAAAATGTACACAAAATTTAATTCAAAACCTCTTACAAAGGAAACCCACAATAAAAACGTGCTTATTTTTGTATTTATTTCTTAGAGCTTTACACTCGAGCGCAATTTTCGTCTAGCCTTTTAACTGCAACAGTATTCACAATTAGTTAATTATAAAACGAATTTCGTTATGAACCGACGCAAAAATCCCTTTTTGCATCAAAGCCCTTTGTTTCTTTCGTTCAAGTGCAAACTACAAAGAAGAATCACAAAACGAACTTTGCACTTCCTCAGCAAACGCAGTGAATAAATTTAACTTGACGTGAATTCGAGAAAAAGAAACAGTTACAGCTTTAGTATTTCTATAGGAAAATGCATTTGCTATTCCGGATTTAGATTTTGTATATAGAAATGATTTGTTTTATGGTGGGATTAGGATCATCATAAAATTGATAACCAAAATAATGTTTTCCCATAAAGTTTATTTATTTTTATGATAATATAGGTTTTCCTATTAGAAGATAAAAATATGCTAAAACGTAGAAAGCGATCATTACATCAATAAAGTTAATATAGTGATTGAAAAAGTTGAAATCCTATTCATATTTTTATGAGTTACAGATCGACGCTGATGGTCGTAAAACTTTTAATGTAATAATATTTCATTCAATTGAA